GATCAGCCCGTCACAAGGCCGATACCTGCACACAGGACAGCACAAACACAGAATGAACGCACACAGACATCATGCCTCGAGTGGGATTCGAACCCACGATCCCAGCGTTCGAGCGAACGAAGACAGTTCATGACTTAGACCGCGCAGCCGGCCATGGTGGTCAGCCCAGCCTCTTTCTTAGGCCACAATATTTTTTTTTCGGCACCCTGTTCCTCCCCTAATGTCAGAGACCAAGTTTCACACCTATCCAAAACTGCAAGCGTGATTATAGACAGGAGACAAGGTTCTGTACTGAACGTTAGAAAGCTTTACCTGAATTTATTCTGCTCTTCTTAAGAGCGCGGCCAATGAAGGATCTGCCGGCCGGTACTGGCCCCTGTTGATAAAGTAATGTGCAGGATTCAGTGGATTGACAAATGGCAAGGGAAAGCATAGTACTGTGAACGAAGCCTGTCCCAGTACCAGTTTGTTCACCACAAATCCCATATGACGTGACCTGCGATGGAATCCGGGCCGCCACGGTGCGAAGCCGGAAACAACCGCCTGGGGTATGGTTTAATCGTACGATATTGAAGTAAGACTAACTGGCAGCATTCCAGACTTGTAGTCAGGGCGTCCCCAGTTCGACTCTCGGCCGGGATACCGTCTTTCCTAACGTGTTTTCGTGGTTGTCCTCAGCCTCTCGAGACAGCTGGATAGTAGGCCGTGACTGATAACTGTTTTATTTTCGTAGGGGAGGGGGCGCTGTAGGCCAGTCCGCTGTCTTCAGAAACTAACCTAACATAACCTGACAAGTGTTAAAACAGTGGGATTGAATGAAACCGGAGTTAGAATAGAGGCACAAATGGGTTCCTTCATGTCAATATCCTTTGATTTTAGGGCATACAAAACTCATCTTGTGTAGCATCCTTTCTGACGAGAGGATGGATCTGTCGTTTACAATTGTTGCAGGTCATCGCCAGCACAGTCATTTTTGAGATCCGAGTCGCGCGAGTCCCATGACCACGTTTTACTTTCTCAGAGTCAAGACTCCCCCAACCTGTAGTACCGGGGCGCAGTAGTTAATACTCCTCAGGAACAGGGTGGCCCGGTTGTACTCCCAGGCACTAGGTTCCCGTTTCGTCGCCCCCTAGCACTCGCAGGGCTACGGTGGAGGTATTGGAACAAGCCTCCACACGTGGTATTCCCGGAACGCGACTAACTCTGCTTATAACATTTGAGCACTAATCACAGAAAACACCGTCTCCATTGTTATAGTTCAACAATACCTCGACCGCTACATGCGTATCCGTTGCTCCGGCAACCCGTTGCCTAGCGATAGCCTAGGTATTGTTGACGTGTTTACCGGCCGTTACAAAGCAACGCATGGCCCTTCTCGCGATCGTTGCATAGTAACAGCTATACAGGCCATAATATAAATATTTCTCTGAAGTTCTTACTGCGGTTGAAATACAGGGACCTGGCCCTCCAAGTTGGGAGAATCTCAAATCTGAGAGGGTAAAATGCGGTCATTTTCCCCAAGGGACTCGGACCGGAGAATGACTGCGCTGGCGAGAACAAGCAGCAATTATCCATCCTCTCGTCAGAGAGGATGTTACATAAGAGCCATGAAAGCGAATGTTCAGTTAAAAAAATACTGGTCGTAAGTCTCAAGGGGCTTGGCGCCAAGGCGAACTGATTGGCGTTAAACCGCCAGTCGCGAAGTAACTCTGATTGTGACAGCCGCGACTGAAAGTAAACAGTAAGTGATAACCGAGCCGGTTGGTGTAACAGTAACACTTAGACCTGTATTCAGAAGATGCTCGGTTCGAACCCCCGCCGGCTCGCCAGTTATCTTTGACTCATTTTGTTTTTGTGGTTTTAGGCGGTCCTGAATGATGAAGCCCCGGTTGCTTCCATCGAGATTCTTTTCAGTTCATTATTCATCCGACCGACTTCGACGACACGTCAATGAAGAAGGGTCCAGGCTCTTAATGTGGGAAACCTAACCAGGCGACTCAAACGGACCAAACCTTACGAACTAGCCAAGCAGCCCGATAGCTAAGGGATCCGATGGGCGAACTTAACTTCACATAATCTTAGTAACTTAGTGTCAAATTAAAACAGATTGTTAGTTCAAGCGAACTAGTCTTTGTACCATTTTGCTTACATCTTGTAGCAGCCAATAAATAAATAAAAAAATTATTCGTCCACTCTACGTAGTCTTAGTACTGATAGCTTCGCAAAGTAAACCACAAGGAATGTAATATACAAATATAGAGCCCAGAAGTTCGCAGGAAAAGTGCGGCGGAGTTATCATTGAAAGGATGAGGTGTTGCACATGTGATTGTTAGATGCACACTCATAGAAACACATGACTTCACACTCACAGGAAACTGTTAACTGCACAACGCGATGTTTAACCAGGGGAAGTACTGTTGAGAACGTTAACAAGCGTGAGGGACATTATTTCATTACAGGACAAAGAAGAATGCATGCTGTGGTATTAACCGCTCCTAGCATGTGCCTTTCTATATGTCGATATAGGTTTCTCTATAATTAAACCTGGTCTTGTGGTCGGTAGTTTAATGTAGTGGATATGTTTGTGTCGTTTCTTATGTGACATAGTTCTACCTGCCTTTATGTATATAAAAAAACTTGTGACAGTGACGAGTTGTGAAGTTACATAAATTCTGGTTATCTGCCTCTGGCTCTACAGCCCTTTGTTGGACCGTGGCCGCTTTTTCAATTTCTTGGCCTTCTACACAGTTGGCGGGACTCCTTTGACGGGGAATCAGCCCTCGCAAGGTCGTTACCTAAACGCAGAACAACATAAACACAAAACAAACCCACGATCCCAGTGTTTTAGCGGGCGAAGACAGTTCATGCCTTAGACCGCGCGGCCACTCTGATCGGCGATTTCGGGTTTCCGTATAAACGAATTGACGAGCGCTGCATGAACGTACGTTACGTAGCAGGTCACGAAGTACCGAACACTATTATTAATAATGATTGCCTGTCTCTGGAGTTGGATAAGGTCAGGTTTTTTTTTTTTCAATTCGCTTAGTGGTGGGCGGAGTCCAACTGGATCCACTCGGCACGGCGGCCACTGATTGGACTATTGTAGCCTGCCACGGGTGATTATGAGGATGGATAATTTGGTGGAGTGAAGATTGGCAGGGGAAACCGAAGTACTCGGAGAAAACCCGCCCCAGCGCCACTTTGTCCACCTCACATCCTACTTTACCCAGCCCGGAATGGAATACGGGCCGCCGCGGTGGGAAGCCAGCGACTAACCGCTTGAGCTATGGCGCGGCCCTACGGTCAGGGCTAGCAGACATGTCTTGTGTTCACCTACATCTCTTACTTTGGAAAAACAGGAGTGGGCTTGTGAGATTACCGTGACATCTGTGTCTCTGTCCCCCCCCCCCCAATTAGCTTTTGAATGCCTGTACCAAACGTACTTCATAAATCCCTCCCATCAGTCTCTGTGTCTGCATTTGTATCCCCTATCGTTGCTAGGCAACGGCTCGGTAAAAACTGTACCGCTGCATTTCACACACGCAACAATTGAGCTATGGAAATATGTCGTATCGAAGTAAATTAGTGATTTGGTTATTTCAATAACTTCGTGTCAGTAATATGGGGTGGGTTCCTCTGGAATTTGGTGGGTTTAGGGTGTCCAGACATGACATGGCTGCTTTTTAAAAGTAGTTTTTGATGTCTGGGCCTTTTTTCAGTTAAATTTATAGAATGACTCGTTTTTCTAAATTTTATTCTTATGTGGTATGCTCAGCAACGTTCCTTTTCGTGATCCAGGTGTAGTAGTTAAGGTCATTTGTAGGTGAAAATATGTGCAGTGTTTTTGCACTTATTTTTATGTGGCTGATCTCACCTTAGAGTAATATTATTAAAATTTCTAAAGGAGTAGTAAGTGAGATATAATATCCTACAATTCTTTTGATGTCAGGAAAATGAAACGTATGGCATAGTGCAACTCAGAACATCTCAACATGCTTATCATCATAAGGCATAAACTGATTTGAAAAGATTTCTGTCTTGAGGGATGTGTGATGGAATGCCATGTAGTTCAGTAGATAGGCACCAACATTTATTTTTACATCTATGCATGGACTACACTTGCACATTAAATTTGGAGGCAGCGTTCTCCTCATAAATGTTGGTATCCATCTACAAGAGTTCACTGCATTACGACCCAGAACACAGCAATCTACATAGTCACCTATATGAGAACATCTAATCTCACACATTTGTCACTTACAGTTTAACTTCTGTTTCATTTACATATCTTTCCTTCATGGCATGTCATATTTGCAGATTCTTGTGTCAACAAGATGGAGTTTTTTTTTTTTTTTGCATATCGGCGTACAGAAGTTTGCTTTATACAGACCTGAAAACATTTGCAGACGTAATAAGAGCATTTCTTTCCAACAGGCCTGCAGGGTTCCCTGTTCCATCAGGGTGGAGCAATCTCAAGGTCATGGCTGGCCAATTTGTTTGCAGGGTATACCATTCGTGTATTTATTTTATTTGCCACCAGTCCTGTGAATCGCTTGATTTTCACAAAATTGTACATCTTGTACAAGGTCTGTAGGATGTGCCATTTGTGTAATGTGTGTTCTTGCCAGGATTTCTGTTGTGTTTTGTTCTCACCAGCATTTCAAAGAGATGATGATAATGCATTTGTAAACATGTATTCTTTATACACACATGTCTACAGAGTGTTTAATTTTTGTAAAAACATTTGATTTTACTGATATTTCCCCAGATTGTACCTTGTGTACGCTACTAGTTTTTGTCAAAGAGTCCTTTAAATTGTGTCAGTGTATGTGTTTTCCCAACAGTCATGCAAAATATGTTATCTGTTTTTTTTTGTTTTTGTCGACAGTCCTGCAAAGTGTGTAACAAGACATTCGCGAACGTGTACCGCCTGCAGCGCCACATGATAAGCCATGATGAAAGTGCTGTGCTACGGAAATTCAAGTGTCCGGAGTGTGAGAAAGCTTTCAAATTCAAGCACCATCTCAAAGTAGGTCCACCATGTTTGTTTAGTGGGCTGTAGTTGACTGTTTTGAGAGGGAACTGCAAGTCCTCAGATTTCAGAACTAATTTCATAATTTAACTTAAGTAGCTTAAACTGAATGGCCACAGGCTGTATGTGGCGGGGAGGGGGCAAGCCAGGTATCTGCATTCCCACTCAACAGTGGGTTTTGTCGGAATTATAAGAATTGAAGAAAAGAAGGAAATACACCCAAAGTTTATAAATGGTTGTGAATGAATTAAATACGTATGTTTTGTGAGGAAATTCTCTGGCTGCCCCCCTCCCCCCCTCCAAATAGATCCTGACTGGGCCTGTGTGAGTGTCTCTCTTCCAAAAATACATTTTCATTCATTATTGCAGGGAAAAATGAGTTTGAAGTATTTCTTATCTTCATTGGTCTTTTGCCAATATGCTGTGGTGCATGTGTGGGCCAGGATAGCATAGTTGGTATAGCGAATGGCTACAGGCTGGACGGCAGAGGAGTCGGAGTTCAAGTCCTAGGGAGGCAAGAATTATCTCTTCTCCACGCCATCCAGACCGGCTCTGGGGTCCACCCAACTTCCTATCCAGTGGGTACGGGGGACTCTTTTTCCTGGGATAAAGTGGCACGGATGTGAAGCTGACCACTTACCTTCAGCTAGTGCCAAGGTCAAGAAAATGTGGATCTATACATTCACTCCCCCATAGATCTTCATGGCATAGTGCTTAATTACTTAAGCACAGGGGAAACTTTACTTTTTTGACCTAACACTGTGGTGCATGTAACTGCTGCTTCATGTAATATCCATAAGGAAACACAAGATGAATCTCAGTAGAGTACAGATATGAATAATTAATTAAAATAGATTGAATTCAGTTCAGTTTTACTGTCAACAGACTGCTCTCATATTCACTGTTTCATCAGTAATGGTTTCACAATGCACTAGTAATTTTATGTTCATTCTCTCTCTACCAAAACACTCGCTATTTGGTGATATGCATTCCCAATTCCTTTTTTTAAACGTGAAATCAACTATTAAAAATGTACTAAATTTATTCTTTGAAAACAATACCTATTCTGTTCATATGAAATATCCTGAAAATTGAGCAGTTGGTTCAGGAACTGAAAGGGGATATGCATGCTTGAGTACCTGCACCTTTATTTCTGTGAAAGAAATCACTGTCTAAACTCATTGGTATGTTTCGAGTTGTTTATACATGTGATCTTTCCTGATTATAGAGTCCAGTCAGGGGAATCCAAAATACAGTACTTTGTGTTTGTATGCTGAAGAAAACAAGGACATGCATGTAAAAGTGCCCACTAATAATGGGGAACTATAATTTTAAGACCTAACATGGAGTTCTGGAAAGAACGAATCGCTAACTTTCCTTTGATATGACATGGACTGAATATAAAACGACATAATTAGAGGGAGCACAGAGACAAGTAATGGTATTATATGATAATAACTGGGACTGGCCTGTTGCCTAGCAATGATATGAGGGTAACACAGACAGAAATGTGATCTCATATTCCCCCTAAAATAATTGGGTCATCACAGATACATGGACAGCAAGGTGATAATACTTGCAACAAAAAGGTGCGGAGGTACATAGATCAATAGACATGAATGGATACACAGACAGCAAGCCAGTCTCATAAGTCTGCTTGCATTTCTTCAAAATAAGGAAAGTAGGCTACCAGTGTACCACATTGCTAGCATCTTGTATTGTGTATATTGTGTCTGTAGTTAATATTCTTATTTTCTGCAAGGACAGCATAGGTCTACATGTGAACCTTAAGGTGCTCAATAACAGTCAATTGAAAGACCTGACCATATGCTATATATTGTCTTCTCAGAAATCTGAATTGCCTATGCATGCTGAAGTACAAGATGAAACGTGGGAAAGTGCTATGGTCTTGTTCACAATAAATTAATGAAAAAGTAATTGTATTATTGTAGAATGGTCCTGAACTGCTTGTACCTTGTACTGCCAATTTACATCTAACGTGTTTTAAATAAAACCAGAACAATTTTGGAAAAATTATTTTATTGCTTTATGTGTGAGAGCTTTGTGCCATTACAAGATGTATGTGGCCGGAGACGTCAGTTATCTTAAGTGAATGCTTAACCTCTATGTAAATGCATGCTGGGTTTGCACTTGCTTGTCATTTAGAATGCATTTAAAGTGTGAAATCTTTTGGATCGTGGGGGATCTCAGTTCGGAGTTGCTGCTGGGTCTGTGTGACCACCAAAAATGACATGTAACTGCTTCATGTTTTGCTAAAGTTATTATCTTGATAAAGTTTGATCATAGATTCAAGGAAGATTTTTTTTCCTTCAGGGGCTTCAGAACCAACATTTTACGCTTCGTATGCAGTAGAGAACCATGTGAATGCCTACATACAAGGGGTGGATAAAAAGTAGTGGCAACACTGCTGTAACATGAAAGATGTGCGTCAGGTGGCACTAGCGCCGTCTGTAGCTGATAGCAGAAGTTCAGTTGAAGTAGAGCAGTGAGTGGCTGTGGTTGTGTTTCGTTGAGTTGCATTGTGCATCGTCGTGAAGTGCAGGAGCCCAGTCCGAGCATCCTAACAACATGTTTACGAAACAGGAACAATGCTCCTAGATAAAAATTGAAGTTGCACGAGGTCATAGTGCAAAAAACTGTTATCAGGGACTGCGAGAAGCATGTGGTGATGCTACTTTGCCGTATCGCACATTGGCAGGATGGGTGAAATTGTTCCATGAAGGGAGGGATGCCATTGAGGACAACCATCGTTCAGGACGACCCCATGTTGACAAACACACAGTTCAGCTTCTTGCTTCTTTGCTGGATGTCGATAGTCGATGGGCTGCACGGGAGTTAGCTGCTGAGGTAAGCGTATGTCACAAACCGTGCTCCGCATTCTGCACAATATTCTTGAATACTGCAGAATTGCAGCATGTTGGGTACGCCATACAATGTCCGAGGTGCAACAATGGCAACATTATGCAATTGCACAGGACTTGTTGGAGCAGTACCAGAGGGAAGGTGACAACTTCCTTGGAAGGATCATCACTCTGGACGAAACTTTGGCTCGCTCATATGAACTGCACTTGAAGCGGCAGTCAAATGAATGGAAGCATCCTGGCTCTCCTTGTCCAAAGAAAGTGCGCCCTACACAGAGTAATGTGAAGGTGATGTTCATTGTGGCATATGACATCGATGGAGTGATACTGCACCACACTGTACCTCAACGACAGACAGTAAACACTGCCTATTACGGCAATTTTCTGCATAATCATCTTTGTCCAGTGCTCAGGAGAAAGCAACAACACTTGTTGGCAATGAACCCCATCATCCTTCATGACAATGCAAGGTCTCATACTGCTGACACTGTGAAGGATCTCCTTCGCCGCTGGCGATGGGAGATACTGCAACATCCGCCATAATCACCTGATATGAGTCCATGCGATTATGATCTCTTTGCCAAAATGAAAGAACCACTGCGAGGGACACGTTACAACACAAGAGAGGAGATTATTCATGCTGTAGAGCGGTCACTGCTGGACATCAACAGAAGTGGACGTGCTGATGGTGTATGACACCTTCTGCAAATTTGGCAGAAGGTGGTACAAATGGGGGGCGATTGTGTTGAAGGAATGTAAGTGTGTTTACCTCAGGTAATAAAGTAATTTCAGAACTGTAGAGGTGTTGCCACTACTTTGTACCCGACCTATGTATAAAATAAATGTGACAAGCACGGAAGTACGTTTTTTCATTCAGGTTGTATGCCAAAAAAAATAGTTCAGCTCAATTAACAGTTTCATCCATTAGTTATGATTATATTTTGCTATGTTACATTTTTAAGTTTTATTATATTCTTCAGAAGGGCTGGGTTAGCTTAGTGGGTATAGCAACTGGCTACGGGCTGAACGACAAAGGGGCCAGAGTTTGAGTCCTGGTAGGCTGAAGAATTTTCTCCTCTTTATGTCATCCAGACTGGCTCTGGCGTCCAGCCAACCTCCTATCCAATGGGTACTGGGGGCTCTTTCCCCATGGGTAAAGTGACGGGCGTGAAACTGACCACACCTCCACCTAGTGCGGAGGTCAGGAAAATGTGGATCTATTCATCCACACCTTCATGGCATAGTGCTTAATTAGTTAAGCACAGGGCAACTTTGCCTTTTATTATATTCTTCAGAATTCACAGATATACTTGTACATTGCTGAAATTGGTTGCCGGTATTACTGAGCAAGTTTGTTCAAATGATAAAGGTCTGTTAAGGAGGTGCCTTGTCCTAATTTATACCAGACACTGACCCTCTAGAATGAGGTTTCCATGGTTTTCCTCACTCCCTTCAGACATATGCCAGTTTAGTATCTCAAATGAAGCCATTTCCACTTGCAGTTTTTCTAGTTATCATTCGCCGTCGTCCAAACAACTGAACTGTATAATCTAAGATGCTGACATAATGGTTACATAATATGTAAATAAGCAAGTAAGTAAATTATAAAAATTATTGGTATTTACTTTGATTTCATGTTTTATTTTTAATTTTTATTGTTTTTTGGATCCTTATTTTAAGTCAGATCGCCCAAATGAGCAGCGTGTTCTAATTTGAAGGGGATATCTTGAGGTTACTTAAGTGTTTATAGACATGCTTTTGCACAGAATTTGGAATTTCAGTTGGAGAATTTGTACATCATCATGTAGCTCTTAATTACAGCTTAATACTGTGTCATAATTCATTGTTTTCTGACCTTTGGCCTATAGCATTAAATCTCCAAGTTATATCTTTTGGCTTCTGTCATTGTTCCCAAACCTTTAAAGACTGGCGGGGCCCATACTTCTCTTTTTGGAAATAGTGGCTTGATGAACCAAGAAATGACAGACAACTTTCCTGTGTGGTAAAGCATTTGACATTCGTTTGGAAGATTCCTTGGTCCAAAGGTAGATCTCCTTGTTCATAGCTAATGTACAAGGTGGTTCAAATATGACTGGGACTGATTTGTGTGTAAACAAGCTGCACTGCACAGCAGCTGTGCGACATTGAGAGAGTGAAGCTACAACCTCCACTCTCCCTCCTGTTCAGGTTATAACCTGTTCCTTCCTGTCTGGGAGTTGCTAGAATGATGAGCGAACAGAAGGTACTGCGGAGCGTGGAGCATTGTGATCAGATTTCTCGGAGAAAACGTCCTGTCCACTAAAATTCACCACAGTCTTCAACAACAGAATGGGGAAGAGTGTCTCTCATGGACCCGTGTGTTTGAGTGGTGTTGGTGCTTCAGAGAGGGCAGAGAGTGCGTGGAGAATGAACCGCATGATCGTCGGCCACGGACATCCGTCACCGAGCTAAACATTGATTGTGCAGACACGCTTATTCGTGAGAATAGGCGCATCACTATCAAGAACTTGGAGCAATGCTGTCCATCAGTGTTGGTAGTGTAGAAGACATCGTGAAATATCACCTGCACTATCGCAAGGTGAATGCATGGTGGGTACCATGCACTTTGATGGACATGAACAAGATGGTGCGCATGCAGGCTGCCAGTCGTCTCCTACAGCAGTTTGAAGATGAAGGTGATGCATTTTTGAAGTCTATAGTGACCCCCGTTTGTGGACAATGACGCCGTCATCCAGACCGTTCGGGAGTGGATACGCCGTCAACCACAGGCTTTTTTTGAAATTGTCATCAGGATGCTTCCAGAATGTTGGAAAAAAATGTGTTGACTCTGGATGGGAGTACGTTGAAGACTGACATGTGCAAGTAAGTGTTTGGCAATTATGGTTTTTAAAAAAGAGTGAGTCCCGGTCATATTTGAACCACCTTGTAGTCAGAAGTATTATTACCATGCTTCCCTGACAGTTTTTGAATAAATATGCCATTCCAAAAAATAAATTTACGTACAGTCTCGTGAAATGAAGCAATGTTGTTAACATGTGGAGTACCAGTTTATACATGTTCTGTTAGCAGATAAGTTTATTGTGGAGTTTACTGAAACTCTGCCTATCCCTTGTTACTGAATAGGTTTGTTATGTGCTTAAACATTTTTGGCATTGATACGTATGCCACCATTACTGTATTATGAATGAACGTGTTATGCTTTGATTTTATTTTTTTTATGCTGCTGCTGTTGCATGCTTTTGTTTGTTGTGTTATTTAGCCAGTTTGTGTTGAATGCCTGCCTGTCTGCATAAATTTATTTTGTTCAGGGGAGATATTATGTACAAGTTTTGCCAACTGTACACAGCTGGATATTCCTCACCACAAGGCCGCATGCTGACAAATGGGGACATTGTCCATGTGAGTGCATGAATTTTTATTATTTTGTTGCTTGAATGCTGCTCTTAGTAATTATTTTGAGTTAACCTGAAAACACCTTTGCTAAAAGTAATGTTTTAAATGAAGTTGGCAGCATTGATGGTACGTCTCTTTGTGCTGAATGCAACATTTTAAATGTATTTATAGCCATGTATCCCCCCCCCCCNCCTTTTTTTTTTTTTTTTTTTTTGCGATTTGAACACAGAACTGAAGTTGGAAGTACACATTTTTCTGCAGGTAACGAGATGAATGAATAAATAATGAAGGAAATAGTTGGGATAAGAATGTTGTATTTACAGACATCTGTAGATATGAACAAATCATTACCTGCCTTCTTGTTATAATCATTTAGTCATGTAAATGTCATTTCATTATGTGAAGCAGTCATTCATTACTCCCAAGAGCCATTTGTATAAGCAGAGTAATAGTAGATTCTAAAAAGTTCTGACTGTGGTGTATAACACTCTGAATTACTGGGTTTCTGGATTTTTTCCATCGTCCAGTATTCTAGAACATAGAAAAGATGATGTTTCGGAAACTGGATCTGTGAGGGGGGAAGACACCTACTCAGTTGGGTCCCTTAGAAAGAGTGAACCTCAATCACCAGTGATTGGGATGGAAACAGATCCAGTTTCCGAAACATCGTGTTTTCTATTTTCTAGAATACTGGATGATGGAAAAGTCCAAAAACCCAGTAATTCTAAGCAGAACAATGTCTGAGACTGGGAGGATATTCCGACCACTTTTTCAGTACCTCCACAAACGTCTTGTTCACCATCCTCCCCAAATTGAGCCTGTTTCTCCTCAAGGAAAATCACTTCTAGTAATGAAAAGAGTGTATGTAGTCTGTAGCCTTCTGGGTTGTGATACTGTGCATTTTAAAGAATGTGCTTGTCCCCTGCTACTTCTAGGTAATTCCACTTTTCCCGTTATGCCTCACTTCAACAGTAAGATGGACACAGCACTTTCCTCTTCAATATCAGTAATCACCTGCTAGACACACAATGCTCTGTTGTACCCTGATAGGGGTCAGTGACTGTACTCACACCCTATCGGACGTTCGTAGATAACTCTTAACCTGTGCGGTGGAAAACATGCTGCACTAGGGGGATCCACAAATAACTCAAGTACTCACCAACAACAATAAAGTAAGATAAAATGAAATAAAACACCATTACAACAAAGAGCCTGTCAATACACATAGAACCTTCGATTAAACCCCTGGTCTACTAAACCTGCACGGCATAAACCAAATTTTTGTACTCCAATAGTGAATCATTTAACCAACTTTCAAATTTTAACCAACAATGAACAAACCAAATGTTACACCCAAACTTAATTACCAAACCACATACTTGTATCTAAACCATCACTCAATAAATCAGAATTACTCTTGTTACACTCCAAGGTTTATACACTAAAATAATTTAACAAACTTTATCCTAAGAACCCATTAATCAACCAAAATCATTGAACCAGAATCATATATTGACAACCATCAGTGATCCCAACACAGGCAAGTACTCACGCTCACAAAAGAGGAAGACATCTGACTCCATCGCGTCTCCTTCATACCACGCCACTGTTCTGAGCGACTCTTAAAATCAGAGTGTTCGTGGCTCCTCCCGTCCGAGCCCCTCAAAATTCAACATCATGAAAAGCTGCTCACGCAAAACCCCTAAAGTCAGCAAACTGTCCAGTGGCGAGACTTGTCTCGTGTCGTCGCTTAATTTGTCAGCAATTTCTATAGACTACAACTGAAACCAGATGGTTAAAGAACGTATGGCGTCTCAGATCTGGCTTCCGGCTGGTTTCCAACTTGTGGTTCACCCAACAATGTATTTAAAGTTATAAAACTTATAATTATTTTCTAATTAATAAAACACAAATTTGATCCCTTGTTAGGATAAAGCATACCCATTAATAACCTGGAGCACAACAGGTCACAACCCAGAATACCGTGACTTTAGTGTTAAGTACTTGGAAACCTCAAGTCCCATGTGGTGTCAGTATTACTGATAAAAGGAAGAACTGTTTGTTGTTCATTGTCACTGTATATATCTTCTTTCTTTAATTACTGGCAATACACCAGCATTCTGTTCTAAGTAAAAAAAAAAAAGTAAAGCTATTCCTGTAACAGGCCGTGAAGGTCCATAGGGTTGTGAGACGTTGAGGGTCCCACGTTATCTAGACAATCGGCTCAAAGATGGCGGTAAGGTTGTCAGCCTTACGCGTCGGCCGCGCTTTACTCCCCAGGAAAATTATTTAATTAATTTCTGGTACTCATTTCTGTTAGAGGCTGAGTTGACCCCAAGGCCATAGTGCGGCTGGAAAGTTTGGGTCAATTGAAAAAATCCAATGACCTCATCAGGACTTGAACCAGTGATGTTCCGGCTTGTACCATAGTGCCTCAACCAACTATACTACTGCATGCCCCCCAGCATTTTGTGCTACAGTTATTAATTCCAGAAATCAAAACAGTTTAGCTAAGTTATGAGTTGAACCTGCTGTCTTGGTATCTAGCAAATACTTAAATTTTTGTGTATGAGAAACTGAATTTAAGTTTTGAACAAAGTTCTCCCATTTTAACTTTTGTAATGGCACCTGTTTGTAACTTTGGGAGTCCCTGGATTTGTAATTTTTACAGATATATACAGCACACTCTAAAACATCTCGAAACAAATGTATTTGTAACAGATTATGTCAGAGGCAATAAATTTCATAAAGTTATTTTCAATTTTGTTTCAAATTTATAAAGATTTATGGGTTGCACAAAACACATGCTTCATTTCTGGCCAGAAGAGTAAGTTGTATTTTCAGGCTTGTCTCATTATTGGCATACTTCATAATCTGACAGTTTATTATTGCATGTCAGTGAAAGTGTTTTGGATAGGGGGAAAAATTAGAGGAAGGTAGGAAGCTGCTGAGGGCCATGCACGCAGCTTTTCAACTAATATGATGCAAATCAGTAATATAATACAGCATTTGCTTCACTTACTTAAAATATTATTTAATTTTTGCTTCACTTTGAGAACACATCATTTTGTTAAGAGAACATTTGAAGAGTACAGTGCTCTGGGTTGTAATGTTGTGTAGTTCAGAGAGGGACCACCTCTGTCTTTAGGGTTGAAGAGGAAGCCAGCAATAAACCAGCAGAAGCAGTTTAACTTTGCTTAGCATAGTGTAGCATAGATAAGCTTGTGGCAGGCTTGCTTTGCTTATCTGTCCACCTGCTTCTGCTGGCTTCTTGCCTGAGCTGCTCTTCAGATCTGAAGGTGGCAGTGACATGTTCCTCTAGAATGCCGGGCTTCCCCTGAACTACATGGCATTGCAACCCAGAAGGCAGTTACTCTTCATAGCCTCTGCTGTGAGACCCCAACATCCAACAAAAGAACTGTTACATGAACCGTAGCTTCCCAGATCAGACAGTCAGGAGTCATCCAGATTTCTTGAGGTTCCAGACTTGTTTACATTCTTTTCAGTTCAGTTTGGACATTATGGTTACAAGAATAATACCAGCGTAGCCTTAAATTTATTTGTCATTTGTGGTTTACAATATGGAAGTGACAGTGCTTGTACTGACTGATGAAGACTATGTCCTCCTAAGACATTGACCAGTGTGACATTCATGGCTCTGTGTTGTTATGCGATTGGGCAACTTACATGTGGTTTTTTCAATTCTCACAGGAGCATATCCGGATTCACAGTGGAGAGAAGCCATTTGAATGTGCCAACTGCGGCAAGCGATTCTCACATTCTGGATCGTACTCGAGTCACATGACCTCGAAGAAGTGCCTCGTCATGAACCTCAAAGTGGGCCGCGGAGGTCGTGGTGGGCCCAATTCCCTCCTAGATAAATGTCCGCCTCATCACAGGGGTGCAGGTCATGCATCCAAACGTTCCCTAACAAATAATAGCCCTTTAAATAGTAATACATCCAATGCTACAACAAGTTCCAATATGACCAATAACACCTTTCCACCAATTCTTCCGAAGTATGGTGATACCTTCCTGTCTGCAGTCACTCCACGAATTCCCAGCAGGTACTCCACATCACATCCCCACCCTCCAACTCCGAGTCTACATCCTTTCTATATGGCTGTAGCTCCAACAATGCATCTAAATCCAAACCCCAACTCAGGGATCAACTCTTATAAACTTCCTGCATCCCTTAGTAATCTCCTGGAGCACCTTACTACATCTTCCCCACCTCACCAACCAAGACTCTCCATTGCTGAATGTGACAAGAGAATGGACGAAGCAGTGGAGCAAGAGAAAGGCAATGAGACAGCGAATAATACCCAGAACCAGGAGAAGAAGGATGACGGAGGTAAAGCAATTTATCTGATTAGGGTTTCCCAAATTTTTCATCTGTTAAAATAAAAATTTGTACATGTGGTTGGGATTTCATTCCTCAAGTAGGTTGTTTCCATGTGTGGTACTGTTCACTTAGTTACAAAAAGGAAGGAGGAATCATCAGTTATATGAATCTCTTATTTATTTTGCCATGTAATGGTATTAAATTTAATTAAATTTCTGAATACAAATTGTTAAGTTTTCATTGCTATACTGTAAGCCCTACAGTGTAATAAAACCTTTGCCTGCCAAGCCTCGCCATAGAACTCACTCACAGAGCTGAGCCCTTCTTGAAAAGCCGCCAATTGTGCAACTACTCAAAAACTTCCCAGCATTTTATGGAACCTGAAGGTTCATTACTGTGTTCTGAGCCAGATCAATCCAATCCATATTATCCCATCCTATCTCTTTAAGATTCATTTTGATATTGTCCACCCACCTTTGTCTTGGTCTTCCTAGTGGTCTCTTTCCTTCTGACTTTCCTGCTAGTATCCTATATGCATTCATCTTCTCCCCCATTCTTGCTACGTGCCCTGCCCATCTCATCCTCCTCGACTTGATCATTCTAATTATTCTTGGCGATGAGTACAAGTTATATAGCTCATTATGTAATTTTCCCCAACCACCCATCACTTCATCTCTCTTCAGTCCAAATATTCTCCTCAGCACCCTGTTCTCAGTCACCCTCAGTCTGTGTTCCTCCCCTAATGACAGTGACCAAGTTTCTCACCCATACAGAACCACATGCAATATTATAGTTTCATATATTCTAATATTTATGTTTTTAGACAGCAGGCTTTCTTGAAGTGTATGAATAGCTGATGTACTGTCTCATTGTACTCCAATTTTTTCTTCAGTATCTGACCTGTTACATAAAAACCCACACTGATAATCCCAAATAATGTCATACATATATGGACTTAACCTTAAGAAAAGAATATTGGCTAAAATTTTGTATGAAGTTGATAGCATTTGTCTATGTTCTACTGCTCCAGTTTACCTTGACATATCTTCATTTTTCAGTAGACAAGAAGTGTTTGAATGCTTTGATGGCTTTTCTTAGGAAGGCGGGCAAAGTTATTTCATACGTGGGAAATGTTCTTTCTGGTGGAACAGATGTACCCAGCAGACAAAGAGCATATTCAGCTGAATGTTGTTGGTTGGAATATGAAGCTGAACAAATGACTAAATATATCAAGGCAGTTCATAAAGGATGTCTTTCTTGTGCTCCTGTCAGTTTATATTCTACACATCATCACTTAAGTGCTGGAGTGTTTGGATGAATGTGAGATAATGATTGCGCTATCTTCACATACTTCCATAGATTTACCTCTCAAGTGTTTGATTTCAGAATGTGTTTTGTTTCAAGTCACATTTAATTTGAAATTTATTTCCTAACATCAAGTTTAGTTTCCTGAAAAATGATGTTGATGGACATAGGTGATAACATGTTGATACAATACAGAATTCATCAAAACAGTTAGGGATGTGATGCATTGTATCTCTTTACTCAGTATCACCTTCATCAAAAAATGCTGTAATTCAATAATACTTCACTGTATAGATACGAGAATATTCATATTCCTTTACTGCCAGTGCTGCAGTCATCATGTGTTAATGGATTGCTAACGGGATTTATTGAACGCTTATAACTGAAAGTATTACAAATAACTATAAAAGCTATCCCTGTAACAGGCCACGAAGTCCCATAGGGTTGTGAGACGTTGAGGCTCCCACATTTTCTCTAGAAAGTTGGCTCACATATGACGGTACTCATTTCTGTTAGAGACCGAGTCGCCCCAGGGCCATAGTGCGGCTTGAAAAAATCCTCATCAGGATTTGAACCCACGACCTTCAAGCGTGTTGCATAGTGCCTCAACCAGCTAATTTTATAATTGTTTTTCCATTGAAACATAACCATTATCGATATCTCATTCACATTTACTGTGTATAATGAGTTTATTAGTCTTAATTTTATGACAGTGTACTACATGTTTCGGCTTATAAAGCCCTCGTCAGGCAGTGTACACATACAGCTGTTCACAAACTATTGAACTGTGTTTTGTATGAATTCATATAGTACAGTATAACAACTGTTAATATAATATCTGACTTTACACATAGTTAATATATTCAGTATTTCGTTAGAATTCTTATAAATATATAAACATTGGAATAAATGATTTATATTAAATGGGTGCCTAGATGTGTACATGAAGGCGTCTGTAAGAAAATAGAACAAATTATAAATAAACAAAGTTTTTAAGTTATAAAATACACTCAGATGATGAATTAAAAGGTTGCTCATTATGTCATGTTTAAATATCCATCATTGCAATTATGATGCTACAAAATGTGGTTATCTGTGAGCGTTGTTTTGATCGTGGTCCAGTTTGCTTTATTTCTACTCGCATTTGATTTCCTTATGGAGCAATGGTGGTGTTCAGAACGCGTTGTAATGTGCCACACTGTTTTTTTCTGTGTTTCCTGGTCTACTTTTTCTTTATTTTATGGATTTATCCACCTTTCGTGTTTCAGTGTCTGGCTTTGTTATGTGTCAGATTGCAACTCTGCCACACTGGTTGTGGGCTGGACAATTCGAATTCCGGTAGGGCTAAAATTTTCTCTTTTCCGCAGCATCCAGACCAGTTCTGGGCACTGGGGGCTCTTTACCCGGGGGTAAAGTGACTGAGGCATGAAGCTGACCAATCACCTTCAACTAGTGTCCAGGTCAAGAAAATGCAGATCTCTACATCCACTCTCCCATACACCTTCATGGCGTGGTGCTTAATTAGTTAAGCACAGATACACTTTTAGTTAGTGTTGACAGTAACCATGTAGCTACATACTGTCAATTTCTTTGCAGGTGGCAAAGATACGAAGAAAGCAGCAGAAGTAAAGGAAGAGCATGAGGACGAAGGTGCCACAGATATGTCCGCTCCTGAGGGACAGTATGGTAGGCAGGATGAAACGGGTGAAAGGGAATCTCCTATTGCCAGAAGTGGGAGTAGAAATTCCCCAGGTTGTGGCAGTAACAGTGGTGACCTGGAGGCAGTAAAGAGGATTCTGGAAACAGTAAATGCTACAGTAACTAAACAATTTCTGGAAGCCAACATGCAGAAGTTGACATCTTCAACTTCTTCAGGTAGTGGTTGTCCAAGCATTGCCAGTGCATCATCACCAACTGGGAATGGTACTGAAAGTAATGTACCTGAGTTCCACAAGAAAAGTAGTGAATTTTCATCCTTGTACGACCTTTTATCATGCAGACATTGCCAGAAGAAATTCCGAAGTCCCATTGACCTCCATCAACATGAACGGTACCTGTGTGAACATGGTGCAGGGGATCGCAGAAGTGAAGGGCTTGCTGCAAAATTGGAGGATGCTGTCACAGTGAAGACCGAAGAGATGTCACTTAATGGTGGGTGCAGCGGAAGTGAGGATGGCGATGATGCTGATGGACAAATTTCTGGCAAAGAGCCAGCAACAGAAGAAGATGAGTACGAAGCTGAATCCGTTACAACAACGGACCAGGTTTCGGAAGATGGACGAAAAGTCCGTGTGAGGTCCCTGATAGCTGATGAACAACTCGCAATCCTCAAAGGCCACTATTCCCTTAATCCAAGACCTAAGAAAGATGAACTTGCAAGAATAGCAGATAAAATTGGGTTTTCAGTTCGTGTAGTGCAGGTCTGGTTTCAAAATACTCGTGCTAGGGACCGCCGTGAGGGGCGGTTAGTTCACGTCCCATACGTTCCTTTGGCGACAGTTCCGGTATTTCCTCCAGTGTCTCTTGTGCCTTCATCACAGCCGTCACACCTTCAGACTATGAATGTGGGTCACTACACCACCACATCACCTCCACTATGCCCTCCTTCTGGTGCAGAACAGCCATTGGACCTTTCTACTAAGAAGACACAACGTTCTCTAGCCTCAACTCCATCCAGTTCTCCCCTTAGGCCAACATCAGCAACTGCTCATTCCGATTCCGGTGAGGATGTAGGTTGTGCCATGAATCTCAGTCGCAAGTCATCCTCATCACGTAGTCCTACCCCGAATAGTAGTGCCATGTTAGCAGCGCCGTTCAGACAACTCCTTCCGTTCCATCAGTCCCATTATCCACATTCCTCATGTTCTTCTTCATCTATAGCAGATTTCCGTCGCACTCCATCCCCAATGTCTTCAGGTAACTTGCAGCAGCATATTGAAGGACTCAGTAATGGAATTGCAAATGGCAGTAAACTAGCACGCATCCTGGCCCAGCCACCTGTAACAGCATCACACCGTATGGTCTCAGGGCTTACAAATGGAATCAATGGCAGCACTGTGGGATTAGCTCCCGTGGAACGGCTTATGTATAGGGCTGATCTCCATGTGACATCCCGTTCACCACTGCCCTTATTTAATCAGCAACATCTGGAGAATGGTAGGGCATGCAGTTCAAGTCCCAGCTCTGACAAGCGCTCCTGGAAGCAGGTGAAGAGAAGTAGTTCGTACTGTACCTATTTTATTTATTCGATGAACAACTGTTTATACGAGGGAGTCAGTAAATATGTCACAAATGGAAGTAAAACAGCTGTAATGGTTGTGATAGGTTTTCTGTGCGTGTCACTAGGTAGCAGCATAGTCCGGCTTCATGAGGGTCTAGGTAGAAGACTTGTATGTGCATGTACAGAGGTGTCAATAGTCAGTGCCTGAAGAGTATACTGCCGAAGAACAGTGTTCTGTTATGTGTTTTCTGGGGGCAGAAGGACTCAGTGCAAAGGATATTCATAAGGAAATGTTTTTTGTTTATGTAAAGCAGTTTACAACTGGGTGGCACACATTTAACTGATGGTATTGAAAAGGAGATGTGAAATTGGCTGAGACAACTGTCAAAAGACTTCTGTGCAGCAGGTTTCAACTCACTGTTAGAGCTGTGGGAAAGTGTATCGATGTTGGTGGAGAAAATTAAATAAGTGTTTTTTCCATGTTCGAGNATTTGGCACCGTGTATATGTGGTGTTAACCGACGTTTCGGAGGAACGTATCGCCTCCATCTTCAGACTGCTTGTACCGGTTCTCACGGTCTCTTCATTTGCGGATTTCTTATTTTTCCTTCTAGCCTGAAGATGGAGGCAATACATTCCTCCAAGNTCGCATGTTTCACGTTTTATATCCATTTGTGACCTATTTACTGACTGCATCATAGCTGAAGTTTGTTCAAGTGGTTACGGAAGGAATGCATGTCAACTCTTATATGAATAAAGCAGTCTTCTGGGATGTGGCACCGTGTAGATGTGGTGTTAACCGACGTTTCGGAGGAACGTATCGCCTCCATCTTCAGACTGCTTGTACCGGTTCTCACAGTCTCTTCATTTGCGGATTTCTTATTTTTCCTTCTAGCCTGAAGATGGAGGCAATACATTCCTCCAAGCATTGGTTAACACCACATCTACACGGTGCCACATCCCAGAAGACTGCTTTCTTCATAGTCACTGCAGTGAAAACCTCAGATCTTACAACTGTTATATGTCCACAAGAAGCAACTTAGTTGTTACTGCATTGCTTTGTCAACATTTAGCACAAAAGGCCTACCCTGATGTTGAGACACCTCAGTTCATCATTTTATAGAGCCATTGATCTATACTTTTTCTTGATCAGTTTTTGACTTGCTAAACCTTACACAGCTTCACTAACTAAGATTTCGGCTGTGCCATAGCTCAAGTGGTTAGTTGCTGGCTTTCTGTCCGGTCAAGTGGGATTTGTGGTGGACAAAATGGTGCTGGGGCAGTTTTTCTTCGAGTACTTCGGTTTCCCCTGCCAATCTTCATTTCACCAATTGCTCCACAATCACCATCACCTATCATCTTGGGCTGGTACAATAGGCCAGAAGTGGCCGCAGCACAAGGGACTTAGTCCCACCCCACTAGCAATAAAAAAATCTAAGATTTCTCTTCCAGGATTCATATAGACCTTCACAACAAATCTCAGGACAAGTGATCAGTGCACCTAAATCTCACTATTCCTCAGATATGAATGTGGGGGTTTAAAATAAGAACATAATTTGTGATATAAAATCTTCTCATTGGAATTGATCTGAATAATCCAAAAATGGACAGTTTTGAATTGCATTAAATGTGGAAAATACTAGACACCCACAATTTACAGTATTATTGTTGGTTTCACCAGGGTCACTTGGATGGTGGCGACACAACAGATGAAGCAGATGACTCTGGTTGTGTTGGAGGTGGAAATCAAGAAATAGATCATGCGCTTTTGATGATGGATGAAGACGGCTCCTCACCCAACAAAAGACACAAACTCTCCCCAGCACTTAACAAGGGTCTTCTGACAGGTTTCGGAGGAATCACAGGGCTGGATGGTGAAGGGGAGGGCCAGTTCATCTGCGACCAGTGTGACAAGGCCTTTTCCAAACAGAGCTCTCTCGCCCGGCACAAGTATGAACATTCTGGTAAGTGGTGTCTTTGTCCTGTTATCAGTGATAAAACTGCACCAAAGCTGCTCTGTTAACTCTTTGTTGCACTTAACATGGTGCAAATGCAAGTTGCTGTGGCTGACAGTAACACAGTATACTCTATATAACTTGAGGTTATACCACAGAGAAAACACCACCTCCAACAGTTCCTTTGTTATTAGCCTACTTTGTCTTTGTTTCTGTATATGGCTTGCTAGGTAACAGCTTAGTAAACACATTTCTATGGCAACAGATTCACACACAACAATAGAAGAACTGTTGGCCATGTTGTTTTCTGCTTGGTCCATGTTGTATCAAAGGAAAGTAGGAGATTAGTGCTTCCCAGAATTTGTTTCTTTCAAGTTACTTGACAGTGCTTTCAATAATTCATGACTGTATGCCATCAGATGTTATGATTAATGAGAGCTGAGCAGGAAAGGATGTGGAAGAAAGTGGTCATTACCCATTTCATGCTATCCTAAGCAGTTGTTTGGAGGGGCTAATGAAGCATATCAAAGTCCTCAGTCAGTATAGTTAGGGTCCTAGCCGATATTCAAACCAGACACCTCCCGAAACAAATAGATGGTTACTACCGAAGCCAACTTGTTTAGTGGTATTACTGTGTGTAGCAGAAGAGATTTAGTTACATTAATCAATTTATTTTGCTGTATCATCTGAAGTATAATGCCATGTATTTCGGTAGAAGTCTGCCAGTGTTTTGGAGGAACATAATGCCATGATCTTCAGGGTCAAAGAGTATGCCAAGCACAAAATCAGCTATCAGCCATGGTCCAGAACTAGGCTAAATGGCATTATATCCCAGAAGTCATTGTTCTTCATGGTTATCACTGAAAGAACTCAGATCCAGTATAATTTAACATAGTTTTTCAAGAATGGTTGCCAGGTGTAGCAGAAGGGAAATGCAGAATGGTAATAAATTCATCACTCTTTCAGAGGCAGATGGTTGTGAGTCCTGCTTCTATTTCCCACATACATTTCCTTAAAGCTATATTTTGTAACAAGAACCACAACTCCTTAAATAATCCACTTAACTGAAATATTATAAAATGCTGGCTGCAGTTTCGTAAACTTTGAAAAACTTACTAATACTGTTTTCACTAACTCCTGATCAGTTGTTGCTCATGTGGCGATTATTTGCAGACAGACCTGAATCAGAGTCTGTAAGTACTTCTAAATTCTGTCATTGTAAACAGTGCCAAACTTGCATACTCAGCCATCCTGATGTGACTGAACATTAATTTTTGTAAATAATATTTGAAGTTTGTGGCGATGTTATATGTATTAATACAATTGTTGTGTTTCTGGACATTATTCATCTTATTCTACGAGGGCTATTTGGAAAGTAACCTCCATTTATTTTAGGCGATTAATGTAGGATCAGAGGAGAGCTTGTGCCTATGACTCATTGCCTTGTTAAGCATCACGTAACTGGCCACCTAGTGTTTGTTCTTGTCTCTACAGAGTTATATTGTGTCCTGTGATTGATAGTTCCACCAGCTGCAAAATTTGTGCTGTTATCTGGTTTCTTCATGCTGTAAACATGAGTGCTGTGGACATCCATCATGGATTATGTGCCGTCTACAGACAAAATGTAATGAGTTGTAACCGCAACACTGCCATGCACCCATTTAAATTTAATTAAGTTTATTAATTAGAAATTTGTTTCACAGTGGGATGTAATGAACAAATCAGAGGGACATAAGCCTATTCTTGCATGTAAGAATTAGCTTATTCTCGGCTTCGGCAACTCGTAATTCTTAAGGAGAACGAACAGAGACTGAAGCCAAGAGTAGCATCCATCAAGGACCTGTCAAAAGTTATGTCATGTCTTTAAGGGCTAAAATCCAAAATCACAATGAGCTGATCGGAAATCATGGAAATAAAGTGAACTCCCTAATTTCAAAAACGTCCACTCACTAGAATTTAAGAGTGTGACAGAGCCAAGAAGCTGATGGACCCAGAACCTCACGGTTTGGAAAGAAGTCAGTTGTCAAGGTCAGGCACACACCGGCTCTTGTAGAATTCAGAAGCAAAACCCATATCAGTCACACACTGGCTCTGTTTGAATTAAGAAGCAAAACCTGTATCAGTCACACACTGGTTCTCTTTGAATTCAGAAGTAAAACTTATGTCAGTCAGTTGAAAATTTATTATCAGTACTAATAAGCATTAGTAGCCAACTTGTAAGTTATAAATAGTAAAGCTACAAGCAAAAAGTGTTGTGCTTCAAAGAAATATAAATACAAAATTAAGCAATTTGCAAGAAAAAATAGATTGAATAAGAAAGGGCATAAATGTTTAATAATAAACCAGTTAAACTTGATATGTGCGAGTGTAGCTTTGAGTTTATTTCCTGTCTCCTTGGAGTTTAGGCCCGATAAAGGCCTTGAGAAAGAGACCCTCAGCTCTACCAAAAACAACAAACCTCACCTCCTTATTTAATAAGACAACGTGAGATAATTATTAGTAAGCACAAAAGGGGCAGCTATAATAAAGGTGACCAACATAAGGTAAGGAGGGAAGGAGCAATTGCAAAGTGGCGCCAAATGTAAGGGGCCATACAAAGAAGAGCACGTTGCAGAGTGAAGGAACTGTTAGACAGTGTTGTGGAATGTTCAGAGATGGGCGAACAGATTTTTACGATGAAGAGTGAAGTGGTCGGTCATCTGTAGTGAGAGATGATCTTTTTCAAGCTGTTGACCAAAGGATTTGTGAAAGATGGCTTTTCACAATTTCAGAACTCTGCAAGATTATCACAGTTAGGCTAGGCTATTGCAAGTTTTGCGCAAGAGGGGGTTTTGAAAATGCTCACGGGTGTGCACAAAATGCAGAGAATTTTTTGGATGTTGACTTTTTTTTGAGCGATACCGCAGAGATGGTGAATTTCTGAATCACATTGTACAAGTAATGGGTGATGAAACCTAAGTTTCAGTTGTGAATATCGAAACCAAAGAGCGGTCAAAGCACACACATTCAACAAACAAGCCAAAAAACTTCAAACAAATGTTGTCTACCAGAAACCTAATGGCAAATGTTTTCAGGGACAGAAAAGGGGTGCTGATGGTGGAATTTGTGCAACAAGGGACCACAATAACGCCAGAAGTGTAATGCGAAACACTAATAAAATGTGTATTGCCATTCAGAACAAGAGGCATGGAATGCTGACATCCAATGCACAGCTACGCAGCTTGTGCACTGCTGGAGCATTTCAGCTGGGAGTTGTTTGACTGCCCTCCTTACAGCCCTGATCTCGTTTTGAGCAACTACCACGTGTTTACCTACCTGAAGAACTGGTTAGAATCACAGCACTTCAACAATAATAGGAGTTGATGGCAGGTGTCGAAACATGGCTGAGCTCACAGGCGGCAGGCTTCATTGACGCAAGCATACGAAAACTTATTCCCTGATACAAGTGCCTCAGTTCCATTGGTAACTGTTTTGAGAAATAGCTTAAGTATGTATGTACTTTTTGTATATAATAACTTTTTGCTCATTGCTTGTTTTGTTAACAGCTCACTGGAGGCTACTTTCTGAATAGCCCTCCTATTTAAAACACGCAACATTTTGGAGACTGGATTCTGTCTCTGCTTTCAGGTGGAACCTAGTCAGTTGGGCCCAATTGATAGTTAGTCCCTATCTCTGGACACCTGCACCAACACAAGATAGACTATATAAACCAAATACAGCAGCTATTTAAATGACACTTTGGAAGTACTGAGGTCTATAAATTCTATATTAGCTTAGTCATTAAACAAATCTCGTGAAGTTCTCACAGTGGTCAATGTAAGACAGATTATATAGTCTTCTGGGATGTGAACTCACATATTTTAGTAGATAGGTACTGCCGTTTGTGATGAACATGCTACCTCCATCTTTGAGGCAGATGAGGTGGAGGCAGCATTCTGAAGCATTGGTACACATCTATGAAACTACATAGTGACAAACCCAAGATCATAATTAAAAAATAGCACATCCATTGCTCATATTTTAAAAAATTATTGAAACATCATGTGTGTAGTGAGATAATTTTATGAGGGTTTTTTAAGGGAACAGCAGCAAAAGTACACTAATTCACTGATGGTCCTTAAACTGTTGTTTTAAGGAAATAAAATCAGTATATGACAGTGGATTTCTTAATGCAGTGATTAATTTTCTGGAAATTATCCATCACCCTAATTTTTATTTTGGCACATGTTAAATTTTTTTACTTGAGGATGAAGACAAGCGTCCAGTCTTTGTAACGTTTAAAATAAAAATTAGAACAATGGACGATGTCTAGAAGATTGATCTTTGTGCATGTATTATTACTGGAAAGTTGAGTAAAATGTGTATTTGTATAAACGAACTAGATATGATTTTTTTATTGCTAGTGGGGTGGGACTAAGTCCCTTGTACTGCGGCCACTTGTGGCCTCTTGTACCAGCACGAGATGATAGGTGAGGGTGATTGTGGAGCAATTGGTGGAATGAAGATTGGTAGGGGAAACTGAAGTACTCGGAGAAAACCTGCCCCAGTGCCACTTTGTCCACCACAAGTCCTACTTGACCAGACCCGGGCCGCCACAGTGGGAAGCCAGCGACTAACCGCTTGAGCTATGGCGTGGCCAACTAGATATGAGAGTAATGTGTGATTTGTAACTGGATGTTAATGAACAAGAATGTTTGTGTTGGATTTGAGGTGCTCATGTCAGTGATTATGAAGAGTACTGTTCTGTATGTTGTGATGCCATGTAGTCTGTCAGGAGTTCAGCAACATCCCTCTGAAACATTGGTAAACTTCAAGTTTGTTTCTGTGATGTAAACAGGCCAGCGGCCACATAAGTGTGATGTGTGCACCAAGGCGTTCAAGCATAAGCACCACCTTACTGAACACAAACGTCTGCACAGTGGGGAGAAGCCCTTCCAGTGTACAAAGTGTTTTAAGCGCTTCTCCCACTCTGGGTCCTACAGCCAACACATGAACCACCGCTACTCATACTGCAAGCCCTACAGAGAATAGCTATGCCTCGCAGGCACTTGCACCTGAGTAACACACCCTCTCCTCGACTGGTAAGTGGGTCGGAGTGCTCTTTTTAGGCATGCCTACAACCCAACAGAGCACACAAAATCACTGTCTACCTATCTGTATCCATAAAACAGTTTCAGAACTGGTGAATGATTTTTGTGAAATTTTGGAGTTTTCTAAAAATTTGTTAGTGCATTCAAATATTGGTTAAAACTTGATAAAAATAATGGATGCTTCAGATGAAGGTTTTCTGCTCATATGTCAGGCTTATCTTGTTAAATATATTTATGCTAAAAATGTTTTGAAAAGAAGTTCATGAGGAAACTCACATTTTATGCCCACTACACTTCTTCCAAGTGAGGCATCTTCTCCCTCTTACTTTTTGTCAAAAATATAAGGAATCATGCCAAATGTGCATCTGAAAAATTGGAATTATTTTTATTGTGAAGCTGTCTGTACTTTAACAAAGATGTACACCTCCATCAGACTTGATATATCCTCAAAAGATTAAATGTAGGTCTGCATGTAAGCATCCTGTCCCCAACACACAGACACACACACACACACACAGAGAAAGAAGTCTTGGTGGCCCCCCAATGCATTACAGTCACTTTTACCAACTGGACTCATAACTGATAAAAAGGATTAGAAAACACACATTTTAATATTTGTAGAAGGTAAAGTTGTCCCAGTGCTTAATTAATTAAGCACTATGCCTTGAAGACGTGTGGGGGAGTGGAGTTATATCTCCAGCATCCTTGACCTTGGCACTAGATAGAGGTGAGTGTTCAGCTTCACACCCCAGCCACTTTACCCCCAAGGAAAAGAGCCCATGGCACGCATTGGATAGGAGGATGGGTGAGCCCCAGAGCCAGTCTGGATGTTATGGAAAAGAAANTTATATTTCTTCTTCTACCCTGAAGATGGAGGCGATACGTTCCTCCGAAACGTCGGTTAACACCACATATACACAGTGCCAAATCCCAGAAGACTGCTTTCTTCAAAAGAATTTCTTCCCTGCCACAAATCTAAACTGTGGTTGTCCAACCCATAGCCTGTCGCTGTACCAACTGACATATCTGGGCTCCTTTTAATATCTGTGTAATATAACTTCTACAGGATTTAAATATACAGTTTCAGTTAAGAGCAGGATAGGAATCAGTGGGAAGCTCCTGTGAACACAGTAACAGGCCTTGGGGTTCCATAAAATACAGACCATTTCTTCTGTGTGTCCATGATGGTTGTCCAGCAATACTGTCACTTTTGGAAGTATCCCAGTATAAATTCCAAAGATACAATTTTAATACTCATTCTGTTTTTGCACATTTACTGTGTGTTAACTACTTCCATGAACTTGTCAGAAGGTCTGTGTCATTTCATATTATTCTGAAATGTCTTCTTTGTGGTGTGTGGTGGTGGTAATACTAGTAGTGCTTTCACTGAGTTCATTCCAAATGTGTGTTTCAGCATTTATGAGTGGAGTTTGAACCAAGTGCTCTGGTAAGACATTGGTTAGAGATGAATATAGAATTATGTGTGCAGAAGAGTGTGAAGAGGGATGACTGGCAGTGCTGAGGAAGAGGATGCTGCTACCAACCTTACATCATGGAATAAAGTGACAGAAGAATCAATCTACCAATCTGTGTATGTTGATTGAACAGTAATCCCTTCTCATCAGGGGCTGTATATAAAAGAGGGAGAATGGATCACAATATGAGAATAACTAACCTGAGAGTCAGCAGCTTCTACCCCCTCCCTCAAACCCCCTTCATACAGACAGTACCCCTTATGAACACACCTGAGAAATAGAAGCCCTCTGTGAGTAGGTATCAAAACATAATGTGAACATTCAGAAATGTTATCATTTAACCTTTACTATGTTGCACTTCTGCTTGCCATGTGGGGAAGTTTCATCCTGCAACAATCCTTGAATGTTCAGATGAACATTACCAAATAGCTTGTGTTCTCAACTGCATTAAAGGATGAAATAAATGACTGGCATCAGATATGATGGTAGTGAGCATAATTTATATAATAAAATGACATTAGTTTGTTCTAGGTTCTTTTTTTATTATTTTTGGTAAGATACTATGTTTTGTTGTAAAACATTTAGAGAAAAGCTGTGGAGTGATGAAGTGTGTTGCAGCATCACAGATTCCAGTGCAAGAAATGTACATTGAAGGACTCTTATGATGAAACACTTTTTAGAATTATTCTGGGCACTTTCATAATTCAGAGAAATCTTGGTGGTCCTGTACATACCACCTGCTGTAAAGAGCTGAAACCCTGCATTCTGCCACAGCGTATTTATGTGCTTCATATGGTTGTCACAAAAACAGTGTTTGTTTCCTTAAACAGTATTAACTGGCTGATGTTTGTGGCAGAAATGTAATGTGTTTCCTGTTAGATATGAATTAAATGTTTTATATTATTTGGAAGAAATTCAGTCTTTAAACGGTTAAATATATATTTTATCTGTAATATCGACGTAATATCAATACATTATTTGGAATTAATTGCAATAATTTGGGTTCATATTATTTGTCCATATGCTGTTAAGGTTTAAACAGAAGGTGTCCTGTTTCTCGGGCGATCTGTTCAATGTTGTTTCCTCTTTGTGACATTTTTATCATCCCATTACTCATTTTAATGCCTACGTAATGTAGTGATTTTTCATCTCTCTTTTTAAAATTCCTCGCTTTAGCAGTATGTAATCTTGCCACGTATTCAGGTCAGGAAAGCAAGTCTTTTGTTAATTATTCAGTTGAAGATTGTGGTTGAAATTAATCATGTCAGGTTACATGTTAACCTTTTTAATTTAAGATTGTGGTTGAAATTAATCATGTCAGGTTACATGTTAACCTTTTTAATTTAAGATTGTGGTTGAAATTAATCATGTCAGGTTACATGTTAACCTTTTTAATTTAAGATTGTGGTTGAAATTAATCATGTCAGGTTACATGTTAACCTTTTTTCATAGAAATTTTAAGTGCTTATACATTCCTCTGTATGCCAGTGTTAACTTTTTGAAAGTACATGTGTGGGTAAAAGATAAAAAAAATCTCTGCACTCTGATGTTGCAAGAATAACATGTCTCAGCAGGAGGAAGTTTATTTAATGGTTTCACTGATGAACAGAGCTATCTTACTTTGCATGTAGCAATGGCAGCAACATGTGTAATTTTAAAATACTATGTTTTTTAATGGCTTCCCTGACCTGTGGCCAGAAAAAAAATTGAAAACTGTTTAGTGGAATTCCTGTATTGTAAAATTCTTCATAATGTAGTAGTGTTTGGAGGAACTTTTTGAAATATCCTAGATTCAGTAGATGTCTGCATCTCATATAATTACTCAAATAAAACTACTCCATCCCTTAACTCTTAACTAAGATGGACTATTTATGCCCATTTTTAAATGTTTGAATCTTTTTAAAATATTTAAATAAAGCTCCCCTTTATATCTCTCTCTCTCTCTCTCTCTCATTAAAAATTTTACAACCCTGATACGTCCAATAGCCCATTACATAACAGCTTTGCGATTGCAGATGACTCATAGGAATGAGTAAGTTTAGAAATAAATTAATGTGAAGAAATGATATGGACGGAGCAGTCTTTGCACTGTTGTTCATTTTTAAATATGTAAGTCCATCCATTGTGTGAAACTTTTACATCTTCTTTGTTTAAAAGAAGATGTTGATGTTTACAGTCTTTTTAAAATGAAGAAGTGTGTGCCATAAATTTTTGTCACCTCAGCTCTCCACCAAGGGATTGCTATATTACATGTAGCTATAGTTCTCAGTTCAGGAAGTATGAATGTATTTTCTTCATTATGTACATATAGGGATATTAATAGGAGATTGTGGTACCTGTACAATAATACTCAACAATTTCTTGGCCAAATGAGGAACAGTAGAAATATTTTAAAATTAATATAAATTTAGGGTGAAGAGGAGATGAGAAATGCTGGGTTTGAGGCTCTCGTGGCGGTGGCAAAAAAGGGTATGGTCTTCTGGTTTTAATACAGTTCAGTTCATAGAGACGAAGAACATATCTCCATTTTAGGTTTGAAAAGTAAGCAAAACATAAAACTGGCATGAGCAAGTAGCAAGTTGAGCTTACTTCTTGATCCTGAGGATGAAGGTGATCTGATCACAGTCTCTCTGAACTACATGGCATTACAATGCAAAAGATTGTACCCTTCAAGATGGGAAGTGGTTGCATCTATTATGAAATGCAAACATATTGCCATTCATCTGCACCCGCTACAAAGATGTCCAGAATTAACAAAAATTTAGTAACTTGCCATAATGTTATTATGTGCCAATGATTAAAATAAAAATGCTAATTACATAAAATCAATTGTCTTCCACCACCTCAGCTGATGAACAAATTTTTAAGTGGCAAGAAATGTAACACAGGTTGGCCAACTAGTCAAATCTCTAATTGAAAGTGTAATTTTATCTTGGTCAAGAATACAAGAAAACAACGTTTATAGAACAAAGGCAAGTGTTCACTTTGTTATACTTGATTCATTTGCTGTTTCTTTAAATGTCAGTGTCTATGCAGAACTGATGGAGTGAAATAAATTGTTTCCTAGATAGATGGATGAATTTTTGAGAATGTGTGCATTGAATTATACACTTATGCTTCTGAATACAAGAACAGTCAAGACTCAGGATTGATGTAAATTGTTACACAGTAGGTTTAAATAATTCAAGCAATGAGCTTGAGCAGCAGGGTGGGAATATACTGGATCTTTAAATGGACATTGTAATAAATAAATTTTTGTTATGGAATAGTAAGTGAACTAACCTCGTATGTTATTTTGTTCAGCTATACCAATATATTTCTTTTCAGTGTATGTGGGATTTGTTTACCTTAAACACACTTCAGATGCCAGTATTTTTGTTTTGTCTTTAGAAGTCTGGATTACTTACTTCTTTTGCCTAATTTGATGGTACAGATGAATATAATGTTAGCTAGACTGCGTGAAATATTTAGAAAATAGGTCCAACTTCTGATTGCTGTCATTATCAACATGGTAAATAATTTTCTTCATGATTAATCCTACAGAATGTCAAGGTCATGTGTGTAGTATTCCTCCTCCACATTTGGAAGTAAAGTTTTGGCCCAAGAACAGGTTATCATGATTTAGTTTTTTCATGATTTTTTTAAACCATTCAGGTAAATGCCAAATCATATGACAGCCACATCTTTCCAAAATTATTCATTAATTTCCATACCATTTGATGTTACATGCTTTCATTGTCATTAAATAAATAAATTGCAGATGGTTAATTAATTGATTCAGGTGTTGAAGTAAGAAAGTGTTTGCTGCAAGAGTACGTAATTGAGCCAATCACCTGATGTAGACACTGGTTTGTGTGCGGCTGCATGTGTGTCTGTTCAAGCAGGTATTGGGTATAGCAGCTACAGAAATCGTACTGTGTTATTGTGTATGGCTTGATTCTTGGGGAATTTGTAAGTGACAGGTCTCCTGCCCCCAATTCATTTTATAACATATTTATTTCTTATATAAGTTAGAAGTTTTCAAAATTGTAAAGATTAATATTACATTGGTCTGAGATATAACACCATGTGGTCTAGTAGGTGGTATTAATGTTTCAGAAGAATATACTGTCTTCATATCGTGGTAGAAGTGTATCCTGAGGATGGTGGTGCTATGTTCACTGAAACATTGTTACCCACCAGACTACACAGCATCATAAACCAGAAGACCACGATATGCATGTTTATTTTACGTTTTTTCTCTTAAAATGTTGGCTTCTGATCAACATGGATATTATACTGTCTTGGGAAATGTTCTGTGAACTTTGTCACTGCAAAATTGATACCTATTTCATCCCATGGCCTCACTTTACCAATTTTTTCATTGTCCGTGTCAAAACTTCGACCAATTTGTATATAAGCCTTAGAAGCGCCTTATAAATGTTAACAACTGAAATAAGCTTTACTCCATCAGATCTGAAGAATTGCCTCATGTGATCTCATTTATATTAACGGGACTTCCTCATCCAGTAGTAATAATTGTAGGAAGATGCACGTAATTTTTTCAGAATTTCTCTAAACAGAACACTTTAAAAATGACATCAAAGAATAATTTGTTCTTTTGATTGTGATTACAAGTTCCATATATGATTATTTACTGTGCAGGCCTTTTACTTTAACACAGTATTTTGTTACATTTGTTGCTATTGAGAATGGTATGTAGAGATCAGAGGAATTAATAGTAAGAACCACAATAGAAGTGTTGTGGGTAGTGTCTGTAATAGGCCCCACAATTGCTTGTGGCCTGTTGGATTATAACAGCTGGACAAGAAATGTTGAGCAGTCATAATGTGATGATAAATGCATTATTGCCAAATATGGAATGTCTGGTCTTGGCTTTTGCCATGTAGGAATGATTTCACTATGAAAATTGTAACAGGTCCATTTAAGACTGGTACATTAAACTGTGTAAATTAGAAAATGCCAGTGGTGTCAGTATGCTAGCCTCAGAGTCAGAATTGCCATTGATTTGACTAGTTAATAGATTATTGTTCATTTCTAGCTGTGACTTCTGTATCTCAGCTAATGGTGGGTTCTTGTGACAATATAATACAAATAGACTCCTCAAGTTAACAAAAATAAAAAGAACAAAAACACACTTTAATGGTGTGCTTCATACAAAAGCTGGGTGATGCTGATAAACAGAAAACCAAAGATTTTTTGTTTCTCAAGATCCCTGTTCTCTCTATATACTCTTCCTAACCCCATCGTTATTATAATCTCACATAAATACTCAGGAGCTCACTACAGATGTTTTTGTTTGGAAACCAAAGCATTTGTTTTTCAGTATGACATAATGTGTTGTATACATAAAGTTAAAAAGCATTTAAGATAAAATAGAATAGTAATTCCATAGCTGATTTTTTTTTTTAAACTTATGAAAATATTTGATCGAGCTTTCTTTGATACCAAAATGCTTTCACGTATGTATAATATTTCATGTTTAAAATACAACTTCAAGTTTTTGTCTAAAATGTGTGCTGTGGTTCTCAGAGGAGATTTAAGGTAAATTGTAATTAATAATATTACTACTATTCAGACACAGAGTGAAAAGATATTTACTGTGTAAAAACGAATCAAAGTGTCTTTGCATTAAAACGCTCTCACATCGATATATATGCAAGGAACCCTATGTATAGACATGTTGTATTTGTTGTTTGAAAGAAGCAGACAAAATACTCATCATTCCAGGAAAAGTTGAGGGGTGAAGCGATTTATTGGTACTTCCAAGTGTGTGAGCTGTGTATATGGGTTTGACAATAATATGTAGAGAAGAATTTTTTATATCCTTTGCCTGATTAAGCCAGTAATGTAATCAGGAATGCGCATGTCTCATGCCCCAGTAGACAGGAACTGATTGGGGCAGTTTCCTGTCCTGTGTATATGCATGCATGCGCACAAGGAATTTTTCTATTCTTCAGCCTAAAACAAAAGATTGATTTCATAGAATCACAAGGTGTGTGATATATATATTATAAATATAAATAAAAGATGAAAATTATATATAGATACATACTGAGATACAATTATTATAATTATAATATTAAAGAAATGGGTTCAAATACTGATGAAAACTCTTTAAGATGTTAATAATCCCAAAACTTTTGTAAATAATGAATATTTCCCTTGCTCACGGTACATATTTTTAAATAATATCTTTCCCTTTGTGTTAAGAATGTAGAATTTTTCTATCCGGAGCAAGATATATTATATATATATAATAGTTCTAAATGTCTCAACTTTAATGANCCCCCCCCCCCCACAGTGTGGAAATTTAGTTGATCTTCGAGGTAATCTCATCAATGAAAAGTCAGGAGAAACAGAACCATTTCAAGTATTTGTTACTCCTTTTGACATAGACAGTTTTGCATTTGAATTCCATATGTTACATGCCCTTCCTATGTAAGAGAACATTGCAAGACAGATGTTTATTTCTCTGTCCCTATCTTGCGCTTGTGTTTTCAGAACTATACACCATATATTTCTGAATGTGAATCTTGTTTATAATAAATAATAATGGTGAGCCCTTGTGCCAATATAGATCTGTCTTTTTTATCTTTAAAATATGTGCTTCCAGTGCAATTGTTGTTTTTTTATAAATTCTGCCCCAGCTTGTGCATTTGAAATACATTTTGTTAAAAGAGGCTAAGTGATCCGTGTACTGATGAGAGATGCCTGATATGAGATTTTAGTTTTTTATATAATGAACAATGTATAATTTTTTATATAAGAAGAATGTACATGTGTAATGTTTTTGAGGTTTTGGAAACAACGAACACATATGTTCTATATAATGTACCAGATATATTCTCTGTGTGTGTGATAATTTTTTATATGTATACACATCATTTCTTCTCTTTATTAGGTTTCATTCATAGTTTCTTTGTCTTTTTTTTTACCAAATGAATGTAAACGGCTTAATTTGAAATACAAAGCTAGTGTGACCAAAGAGAATGTATCATAAAACAACATAGATTTTTTTAATTTACATTTTTTGTGCAATAATGTTAACTCTTATTGCCATTTTTATTTATGATATTGTTTTTTCCTGTTTTTTTTAATGAAAGTTCATTTGTTTAATTGGGTAAAGGAAGAAATATTTCTGCAATTGTTTGTGTTCTTTATGCCAAACCAGATACTGCTAATGTGCCATGACACTACAATAAAGGGAATATTTTACAATGTGTTGATGTGTCCTGAGATACAGGTACTGTGGAGGATCCATGACAGTACAGAGGTTACAGTTATATAACAATACTCTGTAAAGGCTAAAGTGTTGCAGGCTGGACACTACAAAAGTTCAATTCTGTACCTTTTAATTCATAATGTATAAATAAATTTGTGATGAAATCTATTTCTTAAAAATACTCACTGGGCAACAGTTTATATTCTGTGAATCCCTTGTGCAAGCATCTTTAATCATTATGCTCTTAGTCCTGGGTCTGTTTGTTACTTTTAGTTGAATGCTTTTTACCTTCACAATATCCTCACTTAGTAGTACTGTATTCCTCCAGAAATCATGTAACTCTTTATCCTGTAATATGTTTCACTGTTAATGGATTTTGAACTTGGAGAGTGCTTGTTGCATATATGAATGATGAAGGAGAACCATAATTTTCGTTGGTTAAGGCACTATGCTAAAAGCCGGAAGGCCACAGGTTCGATTCCTGATGAGGTGGATTTTTTTTTTTAAATTTTCCTAATCATTCCAGCTGCGCTGTGGCCCTGGGGTCGATTCAGCCTGTAAGAGAAATGAGTACCAGGAATCTTCCTGGGGGTTAAAGGGCAGTGGGCGCGTAAGGCTAACAACCTCACCACCATCTGTCAGCTGATTGACTAGAGAAAATTTGGGAGCCTTGACCTCTTGCATCCCTATGGGCCTTCACAGCCTGTTGCAGGGATAGCCTTTTCTTTTAGGTACTGAGTAAGTTTCTGCATCACTCTTGAAATACTGAACTTGATTCTGAGTGGATCTGAGTTCTCTATTGTAGCTTTGAAACGTGAGATAGCCATATCCCATTGCGGTGCACAAGGAGGCTATTAAATGCGGTTGCCTTCAAAAGTTTGTTTTAGCAGCTACACATTTCTGGCAGCCTTCAAGCTTTTCCAAACATTGCTGAAAGCCAAAATTGAATGGTGGGAGAGGAGAGTGACAGAGTATGACAGCATCCTGTGCTGGGCAAGTTGCTGCTGCTGCTTATATGTTGGGTTGCCTTTAGTAGAGAGGCAGTTGTGCGTGTGTGTGAAGAATTCTGTCTTCTGGGATAGAACACAGTATAGTCCATTGAAAGTAAACCACATTTTGGAGCAACATGTCGCCTTCATCTTCAGGGTCAAAGAATAAGCCAAGCAAGAAACCAGCATGAGAGCAGGTGGTAAACAGAGCAGTCAGCTTGCCAAACTTTTGTGTCATACAGGGAACAGGATGGAAGTGGAAGGCAGCAAGTCAGTTCCTGTTGTCTTGTCCATTGGACTGACTTGCTAGTACCCATGGGCTCACAGACAAACCAGGTGAACAGAACCAGCCGATGAAACACAGTTTGACTTCCAATAGACTGCACAAGGGATCCCAGAAGAACTTTTCATAACACAGTGTGCTGTGAGTTGGAAAAAAAAAAGTTGCCTCATCATCACCAAGTGATCCTGGAGGAAATTGTTGTTCACTTATGTAATCATACCAAATTTGTCACCTTACAGACATTTAAAGAAAAGTTCAGACTAAGCTTAATATTGACACTTGTGCAGATCCGTGTTCTTCTTGCATCAGCATTCTTGAAATACCAAGATGGCTTGAGTGATGGGTCTTCATACAAGTATCTTTACTGAGCAGGTTGGTGCATCAAGACTTGTATTTGAGAGGTGTGTAGTTCAATTTTGGACTGGGGCATTGGCTATCTTGACCTAGGTTTTCATGGGTTTATCTGCCCCTCCAGGCAAATTCCAGGATAGTGTCTTGGGTCATGACCACTTCCTTCCAAAACATTCACCAAACATCTTGTCATTCAGTACTCTTATAGTAGCAAAATTGTTAAATGAAAGTAATACTGAGAATTGTCTGTAGCAGCTGACAACAATCACATCTTTATTCCACAAGGTCTGTGCTGTGTGGTCATCTAACGATTCACAACTTCTTGACACCGTAATTCCACTTGCACAACTGGAACCAAGTCGTCATTATTCACAGTACACCTTTTAAAGTGTTGTTATTTTCATTGCCGATTTTCCAGTTCTTTGGCAAAATTTGATATATTCCTGAATTTGGACAGTAATTTCAAATAACGCCGATCACAATGGCTGCGCTGTCATGAAATGTCTTCACCTGCTTGAACACTGGGATCGTGAGTTTGAATCCCATGTAAGGCATTGATATCTGTGTTAGGTAGCAGCCTTGCAATGGGCTGATCCCAAATCCAAGGAGTTCTACTTTCTTAGTTCAAGAAACTGAAGTGAAACAGTGTTTCATGGGTACCCTGTGCTCCTTGTGAGAGCAAAGTGAATAGAAGGTCAAATAAAAGGTATTTTCCAAAATGTTAGACTGAAGTATTTTAATAATAGCTTGAAGCTGTGTCATGCTTTCTCAGTGCTGAGCCAAGACATTTCTTTTTGGCAGTCTGTTAACCGTCTTTAACGGACAATTTTTTCCATTATATCTACTACAGATGACTACATTCAGATGGTGGCCTTCAATGTAAGATATGCCACTGCCACAAAACCTCGAACATCTTGAATAGTCAAGACCACGCTCTCCACTCTCCCCATTGACCATTAATAGGGTCCGGCGGTATGCTGACATCACTGCATTTGCCATCAAAGAACCATTCGTTTTTTCTGGGCTTGCGGTAGCATAGTTGGTTGAGACACTATGCTGCAAGCCGGAAGGTCATGGGTTCGAGTCCCGATGAGGTCATTAAATTTTTTTTTCCAGTTGACCTATTCCTTCCAGCCACACTATGGCCCTGGGCTCGACTCAGCCTTTAACAGAAATGAATTAATTAAATAATTTTCCTGGGGAGTAAAGCGTGACTGGCGCATAAGGCTGACAACCTTACTGTCATCTTTGAGCTGATTGTATAGATAATGTGGGACCCTTGATGTCTCACAACCCTATGGGCCTTCACAGCCTGTTACAGAGATAACTTTACTTACTTTTTATCTCTGTTATGAGCTACCAGCTGCATATTATGTCCAAGTCAGTCTGAGTACCATATCCAATTTTTTTTTAATCTGTAGATGAGTTGGATGATCAAGTCGAGGAGGATGAGGTGGGCAGGTCATGTAGCACGAATGGGGGAGATGAATGCATATAGGATATTGGTGGGAAAGCCAGAAGGAAAGAGACCACAGGGAAGACCAAGGCATAGGTGGCTGGACAATATTAGAATGGATCTTAGAGAGAGAGAGGATGGGATGGTATGGATTGGATAGATCTGGCTCAGGATAGGGACCAGTGGAGGGCTCTTGTGAACACGGTGATGAACCTTCGGGTTCCATAAAATGCTGGGAAATTCTAGAGTAGCTGCAGAATTGGTGGCTCGTCCAGAAGGGCTCAGCTCCATGAGTAAGTAAGTAAGATGAGTTGGAAGTCAATGAACATGAACTACACTCTGTATCACAAAAATTCACAAGTCGTTATCTATTAGCATGAACATCTTTTCTTCCATTACCCCACAGAATATTCTTTCATAACCAGTGTTGAAAGAAACGTTTCTTGCTGTCCTAGATATTTCTAAAAGGAATCTATAAGTCATGCTTGTAACATGGGCCTGATCATTCTGTTTCTGGTCATGAGAAGACAACATTGTAATGTGTACTACCATTGGCCCTATAGAGTGACTAGACATTACATTTTCTGGGAGCAGGCTGGTATATTTCTTAGAAAAAATTCGTTCATACTATGATACTGTTATTTATTCTTTCTTAATTTTCTTAACTTCTGTGTGAAGAACTCTGAAGGTTTGCAGAATCCAGAAGCAGCTTGAAAGTATGAAGAATGGCTGGAGCAGTGTGATGCTACTCCTGCCTTGCAATGTAAGATCACTTTTGTGTACATAGAACACAAATATAACACAGCGAGTCAGCTCAAATATGCAGGTGTGTGGGCGATTGTCAAACATCATCCCGATGACAGTCTGGGAGACCAGTATGTAGGTTACAAATCCCAATACAGCCAGTGGGGTCATATCCTGCAAGAGCAAAATCAGATGCAATTCATTGCACGGCTGGATCAGCCTTCAAGTACAAATCCATAATGTGTCTGTATTTTAACATGTAGCATGAACAAAATGGTTCTCAGTTATTGCAAGTAGAGTGGTTGTGCCTGAACAATGAGACAGTACATCAGCTATTCACAGACTTCAAGAAAGCCTATGATTCAGTTAGGATGGAAATATTGTACAATATTCTGATAGAGTTTAAGATACACATGAAACTAGTTAGGTTGATTAAAATGTGTTTAAACAAAACATATAGTGAAGTCCTGGTAGGTAAACATTTGTCTGATAAGTTTTGAGGTTTTCACGACGATTACTATGAAGAAAGTCGTCTTCTGGGATCTGGCGCCGTGTATTCTTTGTTTCAGCCTACGTTTTGGAGGAACGTATCGCCTCCATCTTCAGGGCAGGTGAATTACGTTGCAAATACAGAGAGCAGTAGCTGTAATGATTAGGAAGTGAAAGGCACTTCTTTATATAGGAAGTAGGCAGGGGGGTGGTTAGAGAGAGGGGACCAATAGGAACAGTGAAGAGCAATTAAGGCCATACATGGTCAGGGGGCAAAGGGGGGGGGGCCAGTGAATCCAGGCATCTTGGAGGTCAATGGCACAGAGGTTGTGGTCAGACACGAAGAACCGGTTGGCTGGGGACAGGTTACTGACGTCAATGACATGATTAACAGGGGACAGGCTACTGATGTCAATGACATGAAGAAGAGCTGGGGTGGCTTGGTGGAGTTCTCTTCAGGGAAGAGATGAGAGGCTTCAATGACTTGTTGAGACAAAACCTTGTTTCCTTGTTCATGTTGTTCAGATGGAGCTTGATCTAAATGGCCTCCATGATTATGCAATCCAGGTAACGGCTCTTACAGGTGATTATATCGGTTTTGTGAAACTGGATACGGTGGTCTAGCTCGATGCTGTGTTCAGCTATGGCTGACTTGTCCGGATGTTCCAGGCGTAAATGCCG